TAAAAGTAAAATGTATGAACTGCATAAAATTTTAGATTTGATCATATATTAATGATAAAAATCTTTTCTAATGTATGTATTAATTGGTTTTTAAAGGTTCAAGACACCCTGGAGCACTTTAAAAAAATGAACAGATTTGTGTGTGTTGAACATCAGTTAAGACAATGTTAGCACCTGTCAGCTTTAATTGTGGATAAATCTGGATCATTTTGAGCTTTTGTCAAACTGACAAAAACAACTGTCAAACTGACAAAAACAACTGTCACCGAACTGACAGTTCGGTGAACTGTCCACGACCCCTATGGCACGTCTTCAGACCTCCGCCGACTCTCGAGTGCAGACGCTGTAGAGTCAAGTGCCATAAAGACCACATCGATCGCAAAGAAGAGGTCCTCGCTCCATGTAGAGGTCAGGAGATCACACTCAGAAAGACACAACAAACTCATTTTACTGTACTGTAGCTGATTAAACTTAGATTGTTAAAATATTTGTCTGGAGGCAAGGAAAAATATAATTTCATAAATAAATATGTTAATAATAAACAAATAAATATAAATGTAAGAAATATTTATTTTTATATATAAATAAAAGTTCATATAAACTAATTATAGACCTAAAGTTAATATTTTTTTCCATTTCTCAGTGAATATGGGTAATATATATATATTGGTGCATTTAAACAAAACAGATTTATTAAAAAGATATATTTAATAAAATAATATTTTAGTCACAGAACATCTTTAGAAATGAAAAGATAATTTTAAATTCATGCAAAATACTGCAAAAAAATCTACAACATTTTTGACAATTACAAGCTACGACATTTCAACAGAATTGCATATATTTTTTGTTTGTCTTGATGTTTGCTATTTTTGAAAATTAGTATTTTATATTTTTCCCTAAAATAGAATAGAATTTTGTTTTATTTTGTTAGAAAAGCTCCAGATTTGGCTTTAGTGCTGATTAAACTAATGTATATGCACAAATATAATATTGTAAAGCATCCCATAGGAAAGGGGGAGGGGGGGTGTACTCGTATATGCTGAGCACTGTAAGCGTGTATTTATGGATGTTAGTCATAACTGAAATATTCTACTTTTAATCCACTGTTATTTTAAGTTTGACGTTAGCAAGGCTGCATGTATATTATCAAATTCTATTTATACACATAATAATGTGAATTGCTTCTTTTTTTACAAATTGGTAGTTTGCTTTCAAATTTAAAACGTATCAGAACCGCATATAAAATAATAAATCATATATTTGTATTGATATATTTTATTACTACATGGAAAAAAAAAGTTTTCATGTTAAACAAGACTGCAAGTATTTGATCCAAAATGTATTAACATCAAAAAATTGTGGCATATTTCAGCCAATGATATTTTAAAATATTTGAATGTTTTTTTTATTTGTGTTAATGTTAATTTACTTCTGTGATGTCAAAGCTGAATTGTCAGCATTTGTTTTTTTCAATGTTGCTCGATCCTTCATTATATATTTACATTTTATACTTCATAAATTAATATACTACTATGATGTTCATGAAATATCTTATTATCAATGCTGAAAACAGTTGTGGTGCTAAATATTCCAGTGGAAACTTTTTTTAAAAGACATTAAATAGAGCTGAATTTTACTGGATTTAGATTCTTGTAACATTTTAATGTATTTACTGTCATTTTAGACCGGTTTAATTGCTTGCTAAAAATTGCTTGTTATAAAATTGTTGATATAAACCGAAGCTTTTGAAAATGCATTTTAACACATGGAGTTTTGAACTCTGAAAAGAATCTGTTTTTTGGTGTTTGTCCTCCAGTGAATTACGACATGTCCACAGCAAAAGAGATGCTGCTGCTGGCAAACTCCACAGAGGAGCAGAAGAAGTGGGTCAGTCGGCTGCTCAAGAGGGTTCCGCGTGTAAACCCTCCATCGCCCACTCTTCCAGCATAGCCATATCCGCTGCGCCCTCAGAGGCAACACCCACTACCCTTTCCCCTCAGCCGTCGCCTCGACTTGCTCAGTCTTCACCCAGACTTTCACACCGAGCAGCCGTCAAAGTGCACTCTACACGACAGCAGCCCTCCAGCAAGAACAGGTGAGGAGGAGACGCTTTCACTCACCCTCAACTTATTCCAAACATGTGTCTCTCTTCTGTTCAACACAAAAGAAGATATTTTGAAGAATGCTGTAAATTGGTAGCCATTGGCAGACACAGTAGGGAAAAACAAATACTTTGTTAGTAAATGGGTACATTCTTCAAAATACCTTTTTTTGTGTTCATTAGAAGAAAGATACTGATAGAGATTAAAAACTGATTTTGACAGAATTTACATTTTTGAAGAAACTATACCTTTAATGCCCAGATATAAAGAATGTTTTGTTCCTCGTTAGGAAGAAAAAACAAGTTTGAAATTCCAGAGTGGTGGTTTAGTGTTTGTGAACATCTTGACATCATCAACACGCCTCAGTGATGTTTAGATGAATATGTAAATATGTGCTGTGCAATTTTTTCCTACAGTAACAACTAAATAAACGTAAACAAAAATGACTGGTGACAAAACAGCAGTTTTCAGCAATCCAGTCATGTGGAGTCCCATCATGTTTATAGCAGTTTAATCAAATACACCAAGTATTAAGCTTTTTAAGTATCAAACATGATAAAATCTTTTCTTAATAAATTACCCTTCCACTGTAAAGCAGCTCTTAGTCTTAAAAATAAAGCTTCTATATTGGCATAGATGGTTCCATGAACAGCTTTAAATATCCATTCCATAAAGGTTTCATTACAGTGAAAAAATACATTGATAATCTTAAATATCATTGAATATCTTGAATTCTCGCTGAGAAAAAAGCGTTATTTGAATTAAAAGGTTCTTTGGGGAACCAACAATGGTTACTTTTTAGTGCAAAACTTTTTCGAACCTTTATTTTGAATGTGTTGGATTGTATTGGCCTCAATAGACTTAGCAGAACAAATGCGCTGGAGAAGATTAACCTGTTAAAAAAGGCGAAGCTCTAAAGCCACACCTACGTAAAATGGGACCAGGTAATGACCGTTTAAAGGTGTTTACCAGCGGATGCAAACTTTTGCTCAAAATGACAACATCAATTTATGTTGATGTATACTGGGGCCTTTAGGTTATAGTGAAATATAGTAGAATTGTAGGATAGAGTAACAAGACTTCATCTAAAGCAATGTTTGAAATCTTCTTTTACTAACACTTGATGTTTTATTGGATAAAAAAGAGAAATAGCTTGATTTATTCATCATTTCCCATTCAGCTCTTAGCCATTACCTCATTTTGTGTGCCAAATATATTCATTTTCATTCCAAAACATGTTTATTTGTAGTTCTACAATAGTAATGAAAAAGAATTATAATGTAACGGTTCAAAACATTTGAATGTTTATCGTGCTTTATTAGTTAGAATCTGCATAACTCAGCATTTTAACCAATTGCAAAAATGATGCAAAAAACCTTCTGATTAACCACTGAAATAAGCATTAGTTTTGTTAAATATAAAAATAATTATCATTAATTGATAACATTCTATTTTTGTTAATGCTAAAAAAAAAAAAACTACAAGCAAATGTAAATAAAATCATGTTTAATTTTCTTAATTCTGTAATAATACATTTGTGCTAATAGTTAAAACACTTTATTTTATTTTATTTTATTTTATTTTATTTTATTAGACAAAGCTCTTCCATGAAAAATTAAATGCCTAATTCATGCCAATTCATGTAAAGTCACTTTCTGAAAAATAAATCTTTTTTACCTTCCTGCATACACTTCTGTCTGAACTGTTCTGCTCAGCTTTAAACTAAAAAGTGTATCACTGCACTGCTATTGTTGTTGTTCTGATTAATTGCTCATATATAGATACATATCTCAAAATAAAAGAAAAATTCATCCAAAAATGTACTTGTATAGGCTGCTCACTGTAATGTTGTGCAAGGAGTTGTGGTCACTTTGAAAAACAAATACCTCACTAAACATAAAGAAAGTCAGCAAATCAATTTGGCATTTTCATTTTTGGGTGAACTACTGCTTTTAATTGAGGTAAACATAGTGTAGTGTCATGTATGTAGACTTGGCTGTGAAGATCTCAATAGCTTACAATGATACCGCTAACCTTTTGTAGCCCTGGCCCAATGCTCCGTATCATTCTTCACTGACCTTTCACCTTCCCTACTCGTGTAAATGTGTGGACAGTAAGTACCGTGCACTGCATCTCTTTTCTGCTCATCTTCAACATGTTTGGCTGCTTGTTCTCTTCTCTGTTTGCATCTGAATCCTCAGTACTAAAAAACACTCCACTAACAATGCAGGCTCACTCTTTTAATTCCATAATATTGCCATCTAATCCTATCTAAGCTGTGAATATTTTATTTTATTTTATACTATTTTCAACCCAGTAAACGGGTTACTCATAGTGGTCTTCATGTCTAAAATTTAACTTAAACTCTGATAACATTACCAATCTTTTTTTTATTTTGTGGCCAAAAAAAGAAAAATGTATCTTTTGTGTTTTTTCCCCAAGTTTTTTTTTCATGACATCTCTGCCATGGTCATTTTAGTGACATTTTAATTGAAATCTTTGTAAATAAAGAGCAGTGGGTGTCTCCATCACATCATGTAGAGCTTAAAAAAATAAACAGCTGTTTTCCAAAAATGAAATGTTCCAATAATGAAAAAGCAATAATATCATCATGAGGGCTTCTCTAGCAAATATCTACTGGTGTAAAATCAAATAAAAAAGAAAGTTATCTGTAAATAAAGGATAGCATTTGTCCTCATCACGTATCTTGTGTAAGTGTAGTTTTAAATATACAGTGCTCAATATATATGCATGAGTACACCCCTCACAAATCTCTCATTTAAATTAATATTTTCTATAGGATGCTTTCCAATATTATACTTGTGCATATACATTAGTTTAGTCAGTACTGAAGCAAATCTGCAGCTTATTGGTGTACTCATTTATGCTAAGCACTGTGTGTATATATACATATATATTTTTTTTTCTTTTTTTATGTGAACCTGTATTTACCAGTGTACTTTTAAACTAAACTTTATAACTTTTATTTTTTAGACTTTGTCAATGGCATTTGTACATGAGTCCAAAAGACTCCTCTTTGTTGCAGATTGCTTGAAATGGGCCTGAAGGACTGGGGTTGGGCTCTTGAGGTTGAATTGGATGATGACGATGTTTTAGACTTCTGAAGACTTGAGTTTTTTGAGGGGTGACCAGTGTTAACATCTGTGAGTGTTAAGCTGTGGCTTAAAACCGGTTTTGCTTTTTTTTAAATGATATTAAAATTTCACACTGTGAGGGACTATACAACACGTTTTGAATTTGCCAGCATGTTTGATGCACTTACAGTATACGAGTGGGCATGTTTGTATGTGTGTATGAAAGGCAGAATGGTTTGGTTTAGCTGGTTTGGCTGTATAGAGAATGGGATTTGACATGTCTGCCAGCATTTTATTTATGTAATTTTTTATGGTACTGAATGACCTCAATCTCCTCTCTCTTAATTTCAGCTAACCTTGGTGAAGGCCGGATAGGTGATCATGCATCTGGGGTCTATGAAAGCGGAAAATGTCATAGTGTTCATTTGGGCTAATGGCAGGACTTCCAAGTGCCAAACACCACAATATAAATGACTGGGGAAGGGGACGGTATATGATATTTAAATACAGCACAAGCCATAAATCACCTAAAGTATCTAGTTTCAATTTTAAGTCATTTTAAGAGTAGAGTGTTTGTGTCTTCCTATACTATACAGTTTGTCAAAAAGTGTCTTCTTAGCTTTTAAAAATGTCAGAGGTTATTTTCGGACTCCTTATAGGGTGGTTAGTAAGTGTGACTGGATGTTTAAGTGTGTTTCCAAGAGCAAATGAATGATAATTACGTGATCATCAGGATTTATATAATCAAGTATTATATCTATTTTTGTTCAGAAAAACAAATATTTAGTGGCACAGATTATATTTTTGTCATCTGTTATTTTGAAGAACACCTTCAATAAGCATTACGTCTGCTCTATGTATTATTGAAGACTGATATCATGATGCAAAGATGCACATTTTATTAAATGCTGTGACAAATTTGTATGCATAGTGGAACATGAAGACCTACGGTCCAAACATTTTCTTTATTTTATTATTTTGTGAAATTGTTTATAAAAAAGCTTTATTTGATGGAACACTTCTGACTCTGTGATGATCCAAACACACCTTAAATATTTCAATAGAAATACAAGCATGTTTAATATTCTAGCGTACAAAACTGTCCATTGCTGAGCATGTGAAATGTGAAAAGTTGAAGAGTAAGGCTGAATTAATTTAGCATAATCATATTGAGACCTGGAAGGAACGTGGTGTTGGAGGAAAAATGGGTGGGAGAAAAAAAACTGAGTGCTAGGAAAGTATATATATATATTAAGTTCATGTATAAGCGCTGACTGACGGACGTGCTCTGTATAATAAACTGATCCCAGCTCAGCTTCTGTATACGCCATTTAAAGAGGAGCTAAACTGCCGGACATTTTGAATTTTTGGTGTGTGTTTAAACAGACAAATACACTTAATAATATGTAAACATGTCTGTCCTGCATGTTTTATTGTAAACACAACAAATTTTCTCTAAAATGAGCTCAAACAGTTACTAAAGTATTGGAATGCTTTCATTATAGATTTGTGCATTCTTACAGTGACACCACTGTTATAAAACAAAACAAAATGAGAGATTCATTTGCTCTTTACTTAATAACTATGGTAACTTTAATCAATAACAGAAAGTGTTAGTGGAACAACAGTTTTGCGAGGGAACGCACAATACCTTTGCGAGGGAAAAACTTTTCAAAAAATATTTTCCTATCACTGTCCTTTTTTTCACCCACCCATTTTTCCCCACCATCACGTCCCTTCTAGGTCTCTGTATAATCGTGATTACTTAATAAAATGAAGCTTTTTTTATTGTGATGTTTTTAGAGGGGGCAATAAAAATGCAATTCTAAATCTAAAATGTAACGTATGCTGATATTATTTTCATTTGTCATGGTTAAAAACACATCTTGTGATTTGTTGTGAATGATTTACAAGAATTGATTGATAAAAGTCCAGTGTTACACAAAACTTTGATACACATGTGGACCTGGAAAACCCTTGTTTGCAAATTGACAAATGTATTCAATGTGATTTATAAAAGCAGGATCAGTTACACATGCTTAATATACAGTAAGGCTGAGGCATTAGGTGATTGAGGTTTTAACTAGAATCCTTACATTTTTACTTCTGTTGCAACTTGCTCATAGATATGAGCAAATATTATTTTCTAACTCAGTTCTGCTCAGCCTTTTTTCTCAGATACAGAGTGGCGTTTTACATCAAGGAAAATGCAGACAAGTCCTTGAAAATGATGAGGTCAGAGTCATTTGTCTTCATGTTAACTTTAAACAGCTACCCAGTAAAGTTTATCCAGGAAACACCACAGACCTTCGTGTTCGTGTCAGCAATTTGAGCTCCATATCATCTGATGACCTGAAGATTTTCTCCCATCTGAGGCATCTCAGTCTGACCAGAAACCAACTGCAAACAACACCTGCGGATCTGCTCGTGGGCCTGTCTAATCTTTACAGTATGTGCTTGACCTTACAGGTAATATGGGTCTTACAAAACTATGGTTACTCACTACACTTTTAGTAGAATAAGGCATGTTATAGTATCTAATGATCAGCAAGGCCTATTAATATATAAAAATCATCTTTTAGACCCAACTCATATTAGTCTGGCAAATACTTAAAATCGTTTATTAGTAACAGTCACTCTTGAAATAAATGTCAACAAGTGTCTAATATTATTTAGAAAAAGAACCAGTTATCTAACAAATAAGTGCTAGTAAATATTAAAAAGGTACCAGCCTACCTAAGGAATAAACACTAATTCATGCAAAAGATAACTACTAGCATAAGACACAAACACGTTTTACTGATTAAATGCTAGTCACACCATTTGAACATTTCTAAATGTTTAATGAAAGGGACAGTTCACCAAAAAGTGAATCGTCATTTAATCACCCATCACGTTCCTAACCTGTTTTGTCTTCTAAAAACAAAAGTAGATATTTTGAAGAAAGCTGGAAACCTGACCCAATTGACTTCCACAGTATTTTTATTTGCTACTATGGAAGACAATGTTACAGGTTTTCACCTTTGTTCAAAATATCTTCTTTACTTTTAAAGATTTGAAAGCATTTAGGGGAGAGTTAATTTTCCTTTTTTGTGAACTGTCCCTTTATGTAACACCAATGCAAGGAAGAGGAAAAAGTGTAATTGACTGCAAAAAATATAAACTTAAATAAAATAAAGTACATTTTAAGTACAATCTTATTTTTGTACTTAATAAAATTGGCATCTATCTATCTATCTATCTATCTCTCTCTCTCTCTCTCTCTCTCTCTCTCTGTCTGTCTGTTGCTTTTTTTTTAAAAACTGAAAATGGCAATAGTTAGCTGAAAAAAGATTCTTTAATAACCTTGTTTATTTATAATTTTATTTTATTTTTATTATATTTTATTTTTATTGATAAGCGTCACGCTTATCAACAATAATTTGTCGGTACGCCTGGGTTTGTCGGCAATCTCCAGAGTTTAGACTTCAAAAATAACCAGCTGGAGGAACTGACTCCTGGAGCTCTGGTGTCTCTGTCAAAACTAGAGGCCCTTTATCTAGAAAACAATAGACTCAAATCCCTGGACCCTTCAGTTTTCATCGGTAACCCAAACCTTCAGCTGTTGTTTATGAGCGGGAACCGTCTGGAAAGTCTTCCTGCTGGACTCTTCCTTCAACAGAAAGAGCTTGTTTTCCTCAACCTTAGAAACAACACTCTGCTGAATTTGGCCTCAGGTAGCCTATGTTCTGTGGTCGTTTGTATGCGTTATTGTCTGGTAATCCATGGCACTGCGACTCTGCTTTGGCGTATCTGTGGCATTGGCTGCGTTTGCCCGGAAAGAGAATTTTTCATGATGATAAATTTACTTGTCAAACACCTGAACACATGAAGGGCAGAAACATTTCTGAAATTGCTGCCACAGAGCTTGGGATCAAGGAGAACACTAGTCTATAAAGGAATAATGATTATTAGTGGTTTCACAAAGGGCAGCCCAGGTCTAGGCCTTGTTCAATTATTTAAGCAGATTTTTAGACATTATTGAAAAAAAAAAAGAAAAAAAAACTCTTGTTTATATCTATATATATATACATACATATATATATATATATATATATATCTATATATTTATATCTACATCAAATTATATGTATGGCGAGGCAGTGGCACAGTGGGTAGCACATTCGCCTCTCAGCAAGAAGGTCGCTGGGTCACTGGTTCGAACCTTGGCTCAGTTGGCGTTTCTGTGTGGAGTTTGCATGTTCTCCCTGCCTTCGTGTGGGTTTCCTTAGGGTACTCTGGTTTCCCCCACAGTCCAAAGACATAAAAGACATGGCTAAATTGTCCGTAGTGTATTAGAGTGTGTGTGTGAATATGTGTGTGGATGTTTCTCAGAAATGGGTTGCGGCTGGAAGGGCATCCGCTGCGTAAATCTTGCTGGATAAGTTGGCGGTTCATTCCGCTGTGGTGACCCCGGATTAATAAAGGGACTAAGCCGACAAGAAAATGAATGAATATAAATAATGACGTACATGTTAATTTTAATGTTGGGTTTGATTAGTTATGATTAATTGCTTGACACAACTGTTATTGTGTATGTATATGTTCATACTTAAAATGTTATTTAATATTCCATTCATACTTTTTTTATATTTTAACTTTATTATTTACATTCTGTAATTGATAGCATTAAAAGTTCTTTAATAACAGTATTTAAATTATGAAATAAATATTTAAACGATTAAATAAAGTCTGTGTTCAATATCACATTGCTTATTATTTAATTTAGCTGGGTTGCTGCAATTGAAATTAAGTATTGTTAAATTTCACTGGTATTGATTACTGAAATATATTGTGACTTCTCTGTTCACCACTCTATCTCTCTGTCCACATAGCTGTGCTGTGCATTCCAAGATGAAAAGTACCTTTATTTGGTGATGGAGTTCATGCCAGGTGGAGATCTGGTGACTCTGACCAGCAACTATGACATCCCAGAGGAATGGGCTCAATTCTATACGGCAGAAGTGGTGCTGGCACTCGACGCCATCCATTCTCTGGGCTTCATCCACTGAGACATCAAACCAGACAACATGCTGCTGGACCGCAATGGACACCTCAAACTCGCAGACTTTGGCACATGCATGAAGATGGACTCGGTGTGTGATAAGTGCATTTGAAGTGTCTTTTAAAGTGTCTTCCAGCTGCAACCCAGTACTGGGAAAAACCTATACAGACTCCTTCAAACATACACTATGGCCAATTTGGTTTATTCAATTCACCTGTAATGCATGTGTTTGGACATGGGGAGAACAAACAAACTCCACAGTGAAATTCCAACTGGCCTAGCCAGGCTCGAACCAGCGACCTTGTTACTGTGAGGCGACAGTGCTAACCACTGAGCCACAGTGTTGCCCCTGCGTCTTAATTTCTACAACAAATTCAGATTCAGTTTTTTTCAAAAACTGTATATAAAGGAAGTGTGGGATTTTGAATTTATTCTGTTTTTATAAGTGATTCAATGAACATTTATTTAAACAAGTGATTCAAAGTGGCTGATTCATTTGGAAACGAAGCAATTAGTGACTGTCTTTGTTGATGATTTATTTAAAACAGATTAAAATTCAAAAAACAAACAAACACACACACACACACACACACACACACACACACACACACACAACTCTTGCTCTAAGATGCACATTTTCTGCTTCAGCTTTGTTTGGTATTTTCTGTTGATCTGTTGAACAGAACTCGCTTTGTTGTGTTTTAATGGATGTTCAGGAAAGCCTGCTTGTGTTAACTTGCTTGTATTATTTCTATTATATTTCTATTGTATTAAATCTTACACATTTTATAATCAAAACCCCATAAAGGGATATTTATTATTATATTTTGGACTCTCAGGACATGATTTTGTTTGTTTTTCTCAATTGAATGAAGCTCTCTGTAACGCCAGCTCACAATACAATAAAATTTTTATTGAAAACGATAAATATCATACACCAGTAGTTGGTGTGTTTACATGTCGGGGAGAACGGGGTAAAGTGAGACACTTTTTACATTTTCTTCCCTCTAAGCGAGCTAAAGTTATATATCAGTAAAATTTAAACATTTCTTATTAATTCAGAATGTTTTCTAGCAATGGAATTTATCAGACTGTATTTAGGATAAAGGAAAGTGAAAATATGATTGTTTAAAAAAAAGTCGTTTTGTGTCTCACTTTGCCCCAGCTGCAGCAGGCCAGAAAAATCAAAGGGGTAAAGTGAACCAGGTGAGGGTAAACTAATCCACTTACTTTTTCCACTTTAAAACTACCATAACAATGCATGTTGTAAGAGTCTGAATCCTGACAATCACACATTTCAGAACTAATGTCTGACTAGTCAATTATGGATTGCGAATTGGTCAATTAAGCACATTTGTTTTTCTAAACATTTGAAAGTAACTCAAAACTCATAAACTCATAAAATCAAATACAACAATCTACTTCAAACTATTTAAATTTACATACTAATGACAGTTAGAACCAGTTAAATTAGAACACAATCCGGGGTCAGAACACAGGACCCTTAGAGCCAGCGATAGTATGGGGGTCAGAGAAAAGGACAATCAGAACCAGATAGAACAACTTGGGACGCACACAGGACTAGACCCACCTTTATAAGAACATCAGTCTAACTGTCATACAACTCCCACTCTTTTGTGTTTCCCTGGATTCTTCTTAAAATTTGTGCATGTGCCTCATCGCCAATCTAATTTCACCCACATGTTCCTGGATTAACATTTATATATTGATCCTTAAACAACATTCAATAAGCCAATCAGAATTAAGGGGTACAGTACGTTTACCTTTTATGTTCAGTTTAGGCTTATGGTTAGGTTTATGCACTTCTGATGATTGTTTTCCAACTATTATTCTCCTCTGATTTTGAGAGTAATGTACAGTTATGGCTGCGGGTTTAGGGGTAGGGAATAGGTATGGATTACGTTTTCCAACAAAAATGATGTTCCAGGACAAACATAGATGTAACCGTGCCAGTAAAATAAATGCTTGTGTTTTTGTTGGAAAGTTATCTATGACAAAGTCTCCCACAGACAGATCTGTGTTTCTTGGACCACTACTCTCATCCTTAGAGCTCTTTTTGTCAGACACATTATCAACTGAGACAGGTACATCACTTTTCCCAGAGCTGCTAACTATGATTTTTTTTTGGGTTGCTTTCTTTTTTTAGATTTTTCCTTTTATTTGCTATTCTTTAGCTTTTTTGTCTTTCTTTATAGGCCTTTTCAATTGTCACACTGTTTCATTTGGATTGTGTTCTGGGGGGACATTTGAGAATGGTAGCATTTCATGAAGAGACATGTATCCAGGTTGGCTAGAAACACATGGCACATCCATGTAGATAATATGCGCAGTGAATGGATTAGCATCAGTGAGTGAACTATCTGTAGGTGGATCATCTGCAGGGAGTAGATCATCCAAATCTTCTGTAGTGGCAGGCTGGAACTCAGGATTTGGCCAGTCTGACACCATGAATAGTGCAAATGCTTTATCAAGGAAATTTTCTCAGTTATATGGAAAAATTCCAGTGCACCTAAATCCAGAAGTGATGTTGCTTAGTGTCACTGTTGATTTCAAGGCCTCATTCACAAGTCCTACAGTCTGGTAGACTAAATTTAACTTGTACTGTACCTTATGTCTCACTTTACCCCAGAGCATTTGTCTCACTTTACCCCACCGCCACATTTTAAAAAAAAATTATATTTTTTAGTAATTCAGGCTAATCTTGAGCTAGCATCCTCACATGGTTTTATATGTTGGTAGTTCATCAACATGTATGATATAAGTTTTTCTCCTTAAATCAATTTGCTTTTGCACAACAGTTGATTAAGTTGATGGCAAAAAATTACTTTTACTTGCAAAAAACATATTTTTGTGAAAAAAACATGCTTTCCACAGCACCAGGAATTCCTATTCTACATGGTAAAGGAGATATGGAAGGGGCTTTAAAACAAAATTGTTATAGAGTGTTATATAAAATCCGTTGCCCAGATACAGGGGGTGTCTCACACTACCCACTACCCACACTACCCAATGTCTCATTACCCCGTTCTCCCCTACTGTACATG